TTCGCCGCGGCTCCAGGCTCTTGCACCCTCGAGCTCCAGTTGAGCGCGGCTCCAAATTGCACCGGCTCCCGCAGGCGGCAGCGGCCAGGGGGAAACTCTTGCTCCGAGTCGCCTGCAGCCGGGGAGAGAGACAGGGACCCCAGCCAGAACCCCGGGGGTTCAGCGGAGAGCTGTCCTGGGACATCGGAAAGGAGCTGTGCAGATCCAGCACCCTCGTTGGATTGCATTTGATTTTCTTTCCTGCTAGACACTGGGAGGGAGAAGATCCAGCCAATCGCTCCCACCTGGACAATCCATCTCCCTCCCCCTTAGCTGGACCCCTGGAGTAACATGTCAGACCCTACCGCGCCTGCCCGCGCTGCACAGGTAAGATGAACTTTATTTCCGAGCCTCTGGCTGATGCAGTTGATTTGAACAGTCACTAAGAACTCTTCCCAACCGTGAGAACCTGCTTTGGGCGTAGGGGAAAAGCATCTGTCTCCCGCCCCCAACCGGCTGGAAATTAAGTAGACTTCGACGGGCAGGGAGGGTCAGCTGTTTGTTGCTTATAAAAGACCCGAACAAAACAAAGGACAGAGACGCTGCCCTTCCCGCTGCTACTTGGGTTGCTCTAGTAAACAGAAGTCATGGGCCTGGAGGCTGCTGTTGCTTATTGAATTAAGCTAGCTCCGCTGGCAGGTGTAGCCTGTGCTGAGTTTCTCTATTGACTCCTACCAGGGAGCTTGGTTTGATGTTTAACTTGGAGAATCCGTTCACGGAGAGGGGACACTTCTTCTCTTCCATGGAATACCAGCACCAGCTGGAAGAGGAGGGCTACCCACCTCCGGGTAGCAATAGGAGCCTGAATGAGAGTGACTCTGGGCCGAGGGGAGGCACCCCTTACCCTCTCCACACCACTCTGACCCTCATCAGCCTGGCGGGGCTACTCATGCTCTTCACCATCTTTGGCAACGTGCTGGTCATTATTGCCATCTTCACAAGCCGAGCACTCAAGGCACCCCAGAACCTTTTTTTGGTTTCCCTGGCCTCAGCCGACATCCTGGTGGCCACACTGGTCATCCCCTTTTCATTGGCCAATGAGGTGATGGGCTACTGGTACTTTGGCAAGGTCTGGTGTGAGATCTACCTGGCCTTGGACGTGCTGTTTTGCACCTCCTCCATTGTGCACTTGTGTGCCATCAGTCTGGACCGCTACTGGTCCATCACCCAGGCCATTGAGTACAACCTCAAGCGCACGCCACGCCGCATCAAGTGCATTATCTTCATTGTTTGGGTCATCTCGGCTGTCATTTCATTTCCGCCCCTTATTTCCATCGAGAAGAAGAACGGACAAAAGGCCAACCAGAAGGTGCTTGTGTGTGAGATCAATGATGAGAAGTGGTATATCATTTCCTCCTGCATCGGCTCCTTCTTCGCCCCCTGCCTCATCATGATCCTGGTCTACGTACGTATCTATCAGATTGCCAAGAGGAGAACACGGGTGCCCCCCAACAAGAGAGGAGAACACCCTAGTAAGAGACAAAATGGCTTGGCAGACAAGGAGGAGCTGCCAGCAGCGGCGAAGCTCAATGGGGAGAAGGTGACAGAGGGAGGAGGAGGGGAAGGAGGGCAGGGGAGAGAGCTCAATGGCATAGACATGGAAGAGACTTCCTCCTCTGAGCACCACGAGAACCACCAGTGCAGGAAGCAGGGGAGGCCACAGAGATGCAAGGGCAAGACCAAGCTGAGCCAGATCAAGCCTGGGGACAGCTTGCCCAGAACGGTGGAGGAGGAGAGGAATGCCAAAGCATCCCGGTGGAGGGGTAGGCAGAACCGGGAGAAGCGCTTTACCTTTGTGCTGGCGGTGGTGATTGGGGTCTTTGTCATATGCTGGTTCCCCTTTTTCTTCACCTACACACTCACTGCTGTCTGCAAGAGCTGCTCTGTGCCTGAAACCCTCTTCAAATTCTTCTTCTGGTTTGGTTACTGCAACAGCTCCTTGAACCCTGTCATCTACACTATCTTCAACCATGACTTCAGAAGGGCCTTCAAAAAGATCCTCTGTAGGATAGACAGGAAACGGATTGTTTGATGAACGACCCTTCTGTGTCAGCATGACTGGTGATTAAAGACCCCACCGTGTGAGGATGATGCACAGTTCCCATGGGCTGGATTTGCAAGTGACTAGTTTCCTCTGACATGCAGGTGGTACCCCCTTTAAAAACTGAGATGAAACTATTAAACACCAAGCAACATTAAGAAAGCAAGCAAGCCAAACACACAGCCTCAATCTTTGGGTTTGCTTGCAAATGGATCTGTTCTGGCTTGCCTTGGCTTTAGATGGGTTCATGACTTATAAGCTTGACTCTTTAAAGTTAATTACACATCCCAAAATAGCTCATCTGGGCCTGAATATTTTCACTTTTTTGATTTTTGAATGTCATTAATTTTTAAATGCATTGTAAAAATACAGCCCTGAGATCTATCTTAATTTTTGTAAGGCTGTCAGCTTTGAAACTAAGAATGCTTTAAATAGTCTTGTCAACTTGAAGTATAAAAACAATTGGAGCCATTTCATCAACCCTACAGTTTGATAGTATTACCAAGATTTCCAATGTGTTGTTGGATTTTTGGCTATAAATCTTGTAAGACCTGACTATATTGGAGGATATTTTTCATACCTGATTCTGTTTTCTTTTTGTGCTATTAGTAGTGAAAGAGGCGTGTTGCCTTTTCAGCAACACTAACTGAAAAAAAAAGACTAACAGTTTCACAGTGAAATCAGAAATTATCCAAAAGAGTGAGAACAATTAGCTCATTTTGCTTGTAGTGTGATGCTCGAAAACAACCAAGTTTTTGAAGGGTTAATATAAAGTACTATCTCGTAACATGTGTTCAATGCTAACTTGATTTCCCCACCCCTGATTGTAAATAGATAACATTTTAAAGTAAATATCAGGGTTACATATATCATGTTATCAGATTTGTATTGATTTTTGACATTTTAATTCCTTCTGGGTTTCCTGCACAAGAAACCAGGTTTCATGCACAAAAGCAATTCTGCCTTTTTGAGTTACCTGATTAGATTTAAGATTTTAATTTTCTATGTTCATCTTCAGTGGAAGCTGGTGAACTATCCATTTTTTTTATGTGAATCTTATACAGGAAAAACCTTTAAAGCAGGAGAAACTTGTATACAGTTTCTCCTATATTTTATAATGTAAATATACTTTTAAAAATGTGTAAATAGTATTATAATAAGAAAGAGAGAGTTAATATTACAATGCCATTTTTCAGACGTATCAATTATAAAACGACAAATCTAACATTCTTGTGCAGGGAGAAAACATCCTGAAGAATATTAAAAAGGATAAACTGCCATTCATAATAAATTGTGGGGAACCCTTTTAATGTTATAACAGCTTGGTTTAAATACTGACAGGTCACAGAAAAGATGTAGAAAACGAAACATTTGTTTAAATCACTCCAGTGTAAGCAGTATTTGACTAGACAATCAGCAACTGTCAAGTGTAAAGTAACAGGCTTGAAGGAGAATGAGATCTTTTATTTCCAAGAGTGCTTATATTCCTTTTGTTCTTGTCTTTTACTTTGTAATTAACTCCAAAGGTCCCATGGTGAATTATGGGAGTTGGACACCAATGTTTACATCCACATAAGTTTTCAGAGCTGAATCCTTGAGAGGTGACGTCATGGGGTAGGGGGTGGGGAGGGGGAGAGAAAGCTTTCCTTTACCTTTAAAAATCAAAAGTCAACAAAGTTGCTATAGCAGATTTTTATTAAATAAAAAAGTTTACAGATTAAATGTGAAATAAACCAGAATGAATACTGTTATCTGTACTTTCAACAGTTTTCACGTTTCAACACTCTGCATCCAGTGCAGTTTTGACACCATTTAAGGAATCTATTACATCGTCACTTTTGTTTTCCAAAGGCCATTGCTATACCTAATGCTAAAGCATTGAGCAGTGACATAATGAGTCCTTGATATGCTGCTTTCTTTTCTCATGCCGTACTAAGAGCATTCATATGCTTCTTAAAGAACAGGATTTAGGATGACATGGTGAGATTCGCTTGGTTAGCTAATCAGTACCTTTTTTCTTCTCAGTTGGCACAGTATTTACAAATAATAGCCAGGATGGTGAATAATTAGGTAATAAATGTGACCAAAAATGATAAGATTAGAAGAGGAAGTGTTGGGTTTAGCAGAACAGCACTTCATGTTGTATAGGACAATGGCCACCATTGCAAAGAGATGTCGATGTCTGTTGGGAGCAGGCTGATGTGCATATAAAAGTGAATTTGGTAAATTTTGACTTTTGCCCAGAGAGATAAAAGAACATCTTTCCCTGGTTTCACATAATGTTATTGTCTGTTTCACAGTAACACTCAGAGAACCCAATCAGAACTGAGCATTGGCAAGGTCTTGTACAAACATAAAAGACATGCTCTGTCATAAAGTGATTAATGTCTTAAGGCACCAGACTGGCAAACACTCAGGTACTTTGCTTTGCTCACATGAATTTACTCTCTTGCTTCTGGTTAAATATGTGCATAAGTGTTTTCAGGATCAGGGGGCCCCAAAATGAAAAGAGGCTACTGATTTCAGTTAACAGTGTTTTTGAGAGCTCAACCTGAGACTTCTGATAGGAGCCTGGTTTTCAAAGCTATTGGGCCCGGTCTATACTCAAGAGGAAAGTCAACTTGAGCTACACAGCTTCAGCTACATTAATTACGTAGCTGGAGTCAGCTTATCTTAAATCATGTTTTTGCACTATCCACACAGTGGGAGGTTGACAGGAGCAAACATTCCAGTTGACTTCCCTGATTCCTTGTGTAGAACACGACTACTGGTGCCAATGGGAGCACCCTCTCAGTTCAAATTAGCGGGTCTTCACTAGACCTGCTCATTTGAACCCTGGAAGATTGACTGTGGCAGCGTTGATCTTCTGTGTAGGGCTGACTAGCCTTTGAAGAGCTACAGCATCCATTGCTATCATCTGGAGTTTGGGTACGACACACTCCTGAAAGCCAGGGCCTCATTATAGGAACCCTGCAAATCACTACTAATGTGGCTTCATAGTTTGTTTTGGTTTATAAAAATAAAATTCGTGAACAAAAGATCTTAATGGATAGCTACCATGTTTTGTGACTGAATCACTGATGAGCTTTGGGGGACTGCTACCATAGGGATCTCAGCTCCCTCATCCTGGTGAACACTCATTGGTCCTTGGTAAACTTTCAAACTGGGATAAAGCTAGAGAGGAAGCACTGAAGTGCCATTTTCAAATTCTTAATGCCCCACAGTCATCTTGAGGAGAATCTCTTGAGAGGCAGGGGGAAAAAAGGGGACAATGGAGAAGGAATAATGATAGGTATGGCAAAAATATGGGGGCGTGGATCGTGGGAGAAAATAAGTAGCACTGCAAAAGTCCCATGTAAAATGAAAATCTCAGTGATCAAAATGCTGGTGGCTGATACTGAACTGCTGTACAGGCCATCCTAGCCAAGATACGTTCCAAAAAACTTGGACTTATAGCAAAACAACTTAAAGCATGGAGTTTTTTTTTCCAGTGTCTGACTTCTATTTGCTCAAATTGGTTTTTTTGTGTGACTTAAGAGTGGAGAATGGGGGGACTTATAACACATCAGTTCCTACAAGCATCAATGGCTTTAGTGCAGAACGGATGTATACTGGGGCGACCTATAGTGGGGCTGCCATGTAGCATCTACTGCTCCTTTCATATGGGAGATACCAGAGTTTTTTTTTCCAGTGTCTGACTTCTATTTGCTCAAATTGGTTTTTTTGTGTGACTTAAGAGTGGAGAATGGGGGGACTTATAACACATCAGTTCCTACAAGCATCAATGGCTTTAGTGCAGAACGGATGTATACTGGGGCGACCTATAGTGGGGCTGCCATGTAGCATCTACTGCTCCTTTCATATGGGAGATACCAG